GAATGCAGTATAATAAAATGGTCAAAGCAGCATATGATAAATTGAGCGAGGAAGAAGTACAGAAGCGAAAAGAGAACTATTGGAAAGAAAAAGAGGAGTATAAGAGAGAAATGACGCGACTTGGAAAGACTATACCGCCAATAAAGCAGTATAAGGTAAGCACAAAGCATGGATGAAGTTTAGGTTTGTATGTAATAATCTGTGTATGACTAACTAAGTTTTTCGCTTGAATTTGATTATAGAATCCGAAGTACACCATTCGTTGTTCACCAAATCAGATAGTTTGGTTAGCATCGAACATTGATGAAACAAAAAAACAGCAAATCAGAGATATGGGGTTTGGAGGGCTGCTGGAAATACAGTGTCGCTCCATTCCGAACGGCATAGGAACCTGGCTGGTCGACAATTTTAATCCTACACTAAGCAGCTTTCAATTACATGGAGATGGTGTGCTACCCCTAACAGCAAAAGACATCGGTTTCATCCTTGGAATCCCGAATGATGGCCCCTTACCAGTTGAAGATGCTGATAGCAGTGAGGGTGGAGATTCTGGACCAAGTCGCCGAACATACAAATGGAAAGAGCTGCCGGAGGAGTTAGTATCCATGAGCAGTGGGGACGAGTTCAAGTGACTATTTGTTGCATTTGCTTGTGGATGTCTATTGGCTCCAACTACACGGGCTGAGCATAAAATCCGGCTATGGGGTTGCACGAAGGTGGTTACTGAGGTGGCCTCATTAAACTGGGCCCAGTACATTAGAAATGTACTATGCAATAGGATATTAGAAGTGCAGAAGAAAAGCGAAAAGCAGCACCAATATGTTGGGGGCTGCATCTTTGTTCTACTGGTAAGTTTAATTACACGTTATTGAAAGTTAGTAAGTCATTTAACTAGTAGGCGATGCAACGATTTTGAAATTTTAATTAGGCACATGAAGGTTGTTTATGCAACGTACATATTATGATATGATAAGTGAGTATGAAGGACGGGAAAGAGGATTGTCGAACATTAGATATAAATAAAATTTTGAAATTCGTGATACATATATTGTTTGCAAATGATATAAATGATGAGTCAGTCGCCAATTGGCTTGCAGGTGCATTACCTCGATCGAGTGACAATACTAAAGCATAGAGTGGCTCGAGTTACACCAAGAGCAAAGGCATGGACAGATGCTTTAATTTCACAGCGGGATGCATTGGAGATCGATAATCTCGGAGGTTATGGAAAAGGAAAACTAGTAAGAGAGATAATTATTTTTTTGCTTGGATAAGGATTGTAACTTACTAGTTCATATGTATAAGACACACATACCATGTACTTATGAAATGATGGTTTGACTTTATTTTCGTAGATTGGGGCGCATGAAGAGGAAGAGGCTGAATCAGGTGCACAGATAAATGAACTACCCCCTGAGCTAGTTGGAATAATGATGGACAGCGGTCATCATGACATTGCTGTAAGCTGCCTAACTTTTCTTAGAAGAAAGTTCATTCTGTAATGTTGTTGCTTAAGAGCAAATGATATGCATTTATACTGATGTTTTTGTAAGCAGCCAAACCTACGTAACTGGGGAAAGTTATCTTGTCCGATACAATCATGATAAATCTTCCATGACCGCATACAATCATTTTGCGTTTGCTATGCATAACATACAAAAATAGGAAAGTTAGTTGTAAGTGGAGTTTGGGACAAATAAGTACACCCAATCGTTTGTTAAGCTTTGTAAAAGGTGGCAACATTTTTCAAATACCGGTCACAAATAACACTATTGTTGTGATCTAAGCTAGGTACATTTCTTGCATAGAACAGATCGTGTCGTATTTTCCATATTCTATGACAGAAAAGAGCAGTGAAAAAAATTCTCGCATATTATTCATGCAAAATATAAAAGTAACTATCATAACCTCATTCGATTCGAGTGGCAAATACAGCTGAAGGCATTTTCACATATAACTGGATATTCATAACTTAGTCATGAAAAATATTTCACCAATTGAAAGTGAAAAGGCAGATTTAGTGAGATCCACGAGGAAGTAATACACATCAATGCATAATTTGCTATTCATCTGTTCTGGATTAAGTCGAAACGAGCTATTCATTATAGTTTGTTAATGTATAAGCAGGCTGAGCTTTCAGAAGTGTACAGTATGACAGTGAATTGTCAAAGAAGGATATTAAAGATTGCAGAAATATTGTGTTCTCATCCTAGGGCCAAAGCAGCAGCAACAGAGGTCGTTTCAAAGGAAAAGCAGAAACAGAGACTGTCTGATTCAGAGCAGATACATCTTGATATGGAAAGCGAAGATCATTCGGAATATGAATCGGCTGAGGATGGAAAGGACTCCAAAGATCTCGATGACGGTGATAGTGAAAAAGAACAAGATGCCGGCGGTACTGCCGATGACATTGGGACGTCAATCAGATCAATAGATGAGACTGAACCAACAAATCGGCAATCAATAGGGCAGAAGAAGACGGTTGAAAAAGAGCAAAGTGGGAGAACTAGTGATGGAAAGGAGGCAGAAAATGATGGCATCACAGGTGATGGGAAGGACATTTCATTCAGTGGAAACAAGGCAAATGATACCCCACCAATTGGCCAACCTGATTCACGAGACGTTGAAGTACATACTGACCATATAACAAGCATTTCTGACCGCATTACGGATGAAGCCACACAACATATGCAGCATGATTGCTCAACAGGTCCCATACAAATTGAGCATCCTTTGGATGGGCCAAACACACCGAGAAGGTTGCGGTCTTATAGTCGCAAAAAGGAAAGGTTAGTAAACTTGGTGGCTATCAAGAATTTGATATACGAATTTCCATGAATTTATTGTATTATGTTCTGTCGACTGTAAACCCTGATACCGTTGAGGCTGAATTATTGCGTAATGCATTTTAGTTTTGCATATCAATTGAAGAGTACTTGGCTGATCGGTTAATCGGTTAAACGTTACTGCCCTGCTGCTAACCTATTAATTTTTTGTTTAACACGCATACCTAAGCATTATTCTGTCAGTGTGAAGTAATTATTGAATTATGTTTTCTGATGTATTGATATCTTCAGCAGCTGTTGAAGATGAGAATGAGGGGAGACCAACTCGGGCAACGAAGAAAAGCAGCATGCTACGGTCAGCCGAGTACCTTCTGCCTTCACACGTAACAGTCAGCACGTACGATAAAAGGATCGCTGCATTCACGTGGGAGGTAGATCAGAATCCCAAGTAAGGTTCCAATGTGTTTATAATACGATTATAAGGTTATGCTACAGCTACTTAAGAATTTATAGTTGCCACTATTTGTTAAGTGCATCTCTCCAGTCCATTCCTAATGAATTCATGCATGTTTTGAGGTTAACTCAATGTCCCTCTTCTTCGATTTAATTATTTGTTAGTCACCAAGTTAAGACTAGCAAAATGTACTTCCTGTTAGGTGTTAGTTACTTGATTATTTGTACATGTGGAATGGAGATTAGATATAGAATACTCAAATGTTACTTTTGACAATGTTAGACGAATTCTTGAACCCATAATCACGAAAACATAGCAAAGTCGTGAGTGGGTTTGAGTCGTTTTAGCCACGAGGATGTAAGAAATAGGACCTGAAGTTATGATAAGGAGGGTGTGTAAGACTTTTTCTGAAATTTTTTGAATTCGCAAAGGAGGAGAGTGAGACTGTCAAAAGCTGAATGAGGGTATCTGAAATTATCCCTTTTATAAATAGTCAGTCATTTCTTGAATGTTGCCTTTGAATTTTTATGCTCTCCCAGTTAGAATTAAAGTTGGTTTGCAGTGGCATCACTTCTTCTTAGAAGACGGTTGTAAAATTTCTCCCAAATTACGTATCTTTTACTACTTGATTATAATGAAGAAGTAGCAGAAGGTAGTAAAATTTCTCCAGCCTAGGGGATGCATGGTTTATTAGTGCTACTATTTGTTGGCTGAAACTGAGTGTAACAACTTGATAAAGCATTTACATTTTTGTAACTCATGGTTGATAAGAACTGGCAAATTTAAATAGCGCCTCCTTTTGTCTCGCGTAATGGCAGGGAGACTCTCATTCAAATGTTTCAACTTTCTCTCACACGAGATGACCTCAGGACTCTTTGTGATGGCATGCACGTCTCGACTCGGGTTAGGCATATTTGACACATACGACAAATAATACATTGTGTTGGTTTGGTAAGGTAAAGTGATAGGTTTTTGAAATGGCAGTAACTAAATCAATTCTGTCACTGTGTTGTGAATAAGCAGGTCATCGACATGTTTGCCCGGCATATCAACTGGGGCGGGGCGACTAGCACAACCAGTAGAGTCAAACGCTATATTGTCGAGCCTATAGCAGTTGTAAGCATTAAAATTGTTGTTGGCTAATGGCAAGTTATTCATTAAACTATTATGAAAATTTCGCACAAATGCATGTTGTAATCTTATACTAATTCTGAAAATCACCGTTAACACTTATATTCCCTTGTACTGATTATTAACAGGATGGCATCCTGAATCTTCGAAAATTCGATGCACAGTCGGATGACATCCTAACTGCTAAGCTTATGAAGTTGTTCAAGATCCGCGGCCCGGATAATTCGGCTAATCCTTCCAAGTGTCAGTTGGTATGGACATAATCTTATCGTAACTATTGCTAAATTTGTATTTATTGGCAAATTATTAGTAAACATGAAAATTATGGTAGTTTACCATTGAAATGGTCTTTGCTCTGCATCAGATTGTTGTCCCTGTCTGCGTAGATAGTTACTGGTTCGTGTACTCCTTCCATGTCACGCATCACGTAGTCCATCTGCTAGACCCTGACCCACAACAAGCAAAAAGCAAAGATATTACAGTTCTAAAGCGCTTGGTATGATTGTTTATGGGATTAGTTCATTGATTTTTATCATATGTTGAGTTACTTGACCATGTTTCGTGCAGCAACGTGGCCTCAGACTGATAATGGCAGCTAAATTTGGGATAAAAATTGACTTTGCAAGTTTCAAACTCGAAGTTGCTGATGTCCCTCATCAGTCACCCGATAGCTGGTATAATATCGGATCTTCCATGTCCTTTTCCCCGATACCTTATCACTGCAATGGTGTACTACCATCACTTTACTATATTATCCTTATTCCTGAGAAGATTCATGTTGATCTGACCAGGTTCGATAGTGGAGTTTTCACGATGACCTTTCTTGAACACTGGAGTGGAAGATTGGCTATGCGAATTACAAAGGTGTGGTCACGTTTTGTAACTCTTTGTACGTACTTGTGGCAATAAAATGGTTAATAAATTGGACTTAATCGTGGTGCTGATTATCAGAGGTGAAATTGTGGCAGGAAAATATTACGAAGTATCGAATGCTGTACACCGCGCGGCTTTGTAGTTCGGAGCATAATACAAAGTTTGTAGACACTATTTCCGCCATGCTTGGGAGTAAATAGTAAATGGTTGCAAGAGCATCTTCAACAGGGATGTAATTTGTTGTTTCTGCTATGCATAATAGCAAAGGATATTTTTTGAAACAGTTACTGATTTTGTTTTTCTGGACACATTAGCGTCAATATTTGCAGCTATTTGTAATTTAAGTTAGGTTTTGAGTTGTCACTAGAATATTGTCAGTAATAACATTAGCCGAACATTAATTGTTTTAAATCTGTCTGTGACTTTTTGCTAACTACTTGTAATACCGGCACTACGAAGATTATGGATAATGAAGAGCAGTGGCAAAATTCATGACTTATTAGAAATACGTTATGACACTGATAGTGCCATTGCTCGTTCTTATCGCCTTCACGCTTTGTACGCAAGGATTATTAATTGACATGGATTGGTATATATCTGCTTTCGTAGTTGAAAGTGTGTTACATAGAGCACGTAAAAAGTTACACATACTGTTGTTGTATAAGATATCTTGAATCTTGCGCAAGTTTATAACTTTCACCTGATCGCACTTTATATTAGTCAGACTGGTAATAAATTGCATCAAATATTAGAGATATTAGTTTTGGCCATTTTCAACAGCGCGTAATTTTGGTTGCACACGGCGTAACTTTGTTTGCACCACGTGTAATTTTAGTACAAAATTTTGTGGGTCCCACACACGGTGGAAAAATCGATGTCCAATTTGTGATCTGGATCGCACAATTTGTTGATGCCAAATTATGGCCATTAACAGCCCAGGCGAGGTCATTCTTGCCCCGTTTTCAGTGTTTAATATACTGACCCCTGTTACAAAATTTCTCGTCTAACCGTACTTTACTCAGAGGCCCATTTCATACTCTCATTTTATTGACATTGGACCAAAACTCAAACTATAATGGTTACCATCAAATTGGTTGCACGTATACAAAAGCAGAAGAATCACCCCTTTTTTTTAGGGATAATTTCAGATATTTAGAGGTGAGGTTTCTGACAGCCTCACTCTCCTCTCCTGTAATTTAAAAAATATCATAAACCTCCCCTGTCAGAATTTTAGGTCCCATTTCTTACATTATCATGGCCAAAAAGACTTAAATACCCTAACAAGTTAGCTAATATTTCGTGATTATCAATACAAATTTGGTGAAGTTAGTTATAAACACAATTAATCTAATTAACGTAGCTGTTGTTAGAACCTTTAACCAATATAAAAACAGGCAAGTAATTAACATATAACATAATGTACATGTTTGTAAACTTATTGTACCTTATAGATCATTCCGAGTAAGGTGTTTATAGTTAAATCAGTATTAGTCATATAGAGAAGGGTGTTACATACCTACTGCAACTTGCAAGGACAAACACCAATTTTTTGTGCCTGTTTCATATGAGATTAACTCACTAATGCAAGATAATCAGGGTATTCACAGTTATATAGTTGTTTCTCTCTCCAACTACCCATTTTTTATTGTTTGTATTTTTGAATAGGGCCTACTTTGAGACTGCTTATTTAGTTTTAGGAGAAGTTTGTGGCATTTTTGAAACCACAGTGGAGGGAAGTGAGACTATCAGAAACCTCAGGGGAGGTATCTGAAATTATCCTTTTTTCTTTATATAAGCCACAGTAACGCTTTGTACATTAGCACCGGCCCGTAGCTGTTGTTAAGTTCCTTTGACAATAACAGCACCAATTTTTCGTAACAGGTTAGTAACTCCACGTAACAATTTTTCGTAACAGGTTAGTAACTCCACGTCACATTGAAAGTTTTTTGTGAAGTTATATGATTGCTCTTTTATGTGAAATCGCTTGTGTTGTTCAATTGTTTTGTGTTAATGACTCCAACTAATTGAAACTATTAATTGTATAATGATGCACAAATGGTGACCTTAATTGTAAATTGTTACAATTCGTACGTTCTTACTTACAGCTTTGTTCGTCCTAAGTTACAACATTCATAAAATTACTTGTCAAATTGAAAATCTGTAATAAAGCATCAGGAGCAGAAGGAGGTGCTTATTCAGGTACCATCACATTGTTAATACAATTGTAGGCAAATTGTCTAAATTTTAACATATAGGCAAATGACAAGGTGTCTGTACAAGAACATCAATAAGCGGTAACAGCTTATTAACGTCCTGTAATTTATGTAAATACTGGTGGTAACTTCTTGTTACACTTGAAAAGTAAGGTGACTTCGAATAATTGGGTATTCACCTGACCCAAATTGTTGTTGGAGTACAGGTCATGATCGAATCAAATTAAACAATTATTTCATCCACACGCTATACATTTGACTAAATGTTGAGTCTATTGTCTCGTTAATAGGTGGTTGCCATGCCTTCATCTACTCACCAGGAGTACTATCCCGTGGAGAACAACATGAAATGACATAGCAAGCAGTTGGTCAAGTTGTCAGAAGAAACCATTTACTATGCATGGTCTTAAATAGGTGCTCTGTTAAAAATTTCTACCTCTTTTTTTCTCCCACCTAATTCTTTATCAGTAGATCCTTCCTTTCATCCAACCAAAAAATAGTAGGTATTAGCGTAGTCATGCAATCCACAAACGAAGGGTCTCATACAAGCTCACCATCAAATGTTCGGCAAAAAAGACGGAAAGTATCATTGGATAACAAATGCCATAAGCACGTATGAAACACCAGATGGGAGGATTTTATATGGTACCAAACGCGAGTTCAGGAACGCTCCACTTAACACCAACAATTCTCTGGGACTAGCTGGTCACATTTTTTAAAAATACCGTCAACGATCATCTATCGGCTGGCTATTTCGTTATTGACCATGAACCCATATGGGAGCCTGTTCGTGAGCGAAGAATGGAATTAGAGGTATTTTGTCGCTGGCATGGCATCCGCATCCCGAGAACAAGGTCAGCGGATCTTGTTATAGAACCACAAGCCAATGATGCAAGCGTATTACACAGACTACAGTGAGAAGTTATGCAGATGGAACGTAGGCTTCACAGGTTCCACGAGATCCAGGCCGCAAAAAGACATGGTATGGTTCAACACATTTTAGCAGATCCCATGCTTATATCGGACCCGGACCTATCTGACTTTACTGAATCAAGCGACGATGACTTTCAAAGGTACATACCCCACTGTTTAATGCATGACAGCGTTCCCAGGTGTTGTATGGGATACAACTGATAACAAGGGATGTAGTCCATTAAGACAGGGTAGCGATAAAACTATACTCATTATAATCTCTACTCAAACAAATTGCTTACCATATTTGGATATTAATCATGCCTCCTTCGACAGTCGTAACTAGTTGTAACGTAACAGTAACATATCCCTTACTGGTTGTAACCCATTGTGTACTGTTCGTTCTTCCTTTTTGTGACATTGTAAAACTTCGTTTTAACGTTACAAATTAATTCTCCAAGGAATCATTTTCTTATGCGCACCTATTACCAACATGTGGTCGTGACCTGGCTTGACCATAATTCAATTAACCTAAAAACTTGTAATACCAATTGATGCCATTAGTGATACATCATGTCAATGGGGCGCTAAATTCGTAAATCGATACAAAACAAATGGCCTAAATGATAATGTTTTAATAAAAATAGCCCAATAATAATTCGAATTTAGCATCGTAACAAAATCAAGACAATTTATACTTTAGACTGTGTTATCTTATACATCGTACCTTTGCCGGTGCGATCTATGCCAATAATTATGGCCATTAAGGTATGCAATTGAATGTAGTAGAATGGTCTACATATCACGCCAGCCATTCAACTGTTATGGTCGATTTAGTGAAAAATATCCGATCACAAAAAACACGTTCAATTCTATTGTAAAATTGTTACTTCAATTTTCTACCAACTTTATAATTTCCTAACAATTTTATATAACCCAATACAAACTATTGATGATTACTACCACTAGATGTGATTACAATTGTAATCCACTTGTCTAAATTTGAAAAGAGTGAAATATCAATGCTGCCTGTACAACCTCGTCAATAAGTTGTAACACCCTATTAACTGCTTGTAACACGTACATATGCAGTATTCCTAAGTTGGGACAACCATTTAATGTCTCGTTCGCAAAATATAGTTACACATCATTCATCAATCTCATTCTCGGGGGAGGCAACGTCAGCGCGAAGTTGCAATCCCTGGGTGTTATTTCTTTCCTGAAATGCGTAACGATGGTAAATCAGAAATATTATTAATGAAACATACGATTAATGATATACGATATCCAAGTCTCCAATTAACAACAGCACACAAATATGTGCTGTAACGATAAAAGTTTATCACCTGGGGTGAAGGTGCAAATACATGATATGCATCAACATCATAGTGTGTTAAAAGTGCTGCACGCTCCTCCTACATTACATAGTATAAGTAATCGACAGTCAACAAATCATTACCAATCCCTATATTGCTCACTTAAAAAGTTAAATTGGACTAGACATTATAATAAAAATGATATATCAGACCATTAAGACATCTCTTACAGAGTTATACTTGGAAAAAATAGAAAATGTGGGATGCATCCATTCTGTAGGGACACTTGTAGGAGGCCCCTGATTAGCCAAACGGTGAACCTTCGAATAATAAAAAATAATATGTTATTAAAGCGAGCATACGTTAACTACATAATTTGCATGATTTGACAGCTTTCGGGTGCCCACCATTACAATACTATAAAAAAGGGTTAATATCAGAAACCTCCCTTGAGGTTTCTTCTAATCACACCTAGAACCCCTCATGTTTTTGAAATCACACTTAGCACCCCTGGAATGACAACTTTGGTATCATTGTCCGCCCCTCATTATTTTTATTCCACTTTTACCCGCAATGGTGAACTCTATTTATGTAGAGTTAATTTCGGAAACCTCCCTTGAGGTTTTCCCTAAATTATGTAAAATTATTATGTAATTATGTAATATTTTTTGTACAAAGTGTAATTCTAATTGAACTATTTGTAAAATTTATCAACACAAATACGATTATTACATATTGGACTCATATGTACACTAACAACTTATCAGACTTCTATTGTAACGATGTACAAGAAATTTACATAAAATTACAAAATGTTCAAAAAATGTTACACGATTTAGGTTTAGGGATGGTTGATCTAACAATTGTTCCTATCCCACTCCCTAATATTAAATAGCTATAGAGTTTCCAGTGATGTTGACTTTTGGCAATGGACATAGTGCCATTGCCAAAATTGCAATTTCTAAGTGAATAATAACATAATCTAAAAGAGGTTTAAAGATGATGGGAATTCATGAGTATATAGCATTAGCAATCCATTTTTACTTGATAATAGGGTATCGCAATATTAATAACTTACAAACTCCATTCGACTAGGATGCACAAAAAGCTATTTATACGACCTCATTTTCGTAAAAATGGAAGAGCAAGTTTATTTACAACTACAATCACATATGTGAATCCATAGTCACATTTTTTTTATTACCGTTCAGATCAATGTAACATTTTTTAAACAATGTGTAACTTTATGTGAATTATTTGTAAAACTTAATAACAGAAACACAATCTATTATAAAGATGTACAACAAGCTTACATAAAATTACAAAATATTCAAAACATGTTACACTGCTTAAGAACGATTTTGTAGTGTTACAAAAGTTGGAGGGATGTGAGTTACATAAATAGAGTTCACAAGGAGGGTAAAAGTGGAACAAAAATAATGAGGGGCTGATAATGATACCAAAGTTGTCATTTCAGGGGTGCTAAGTGTGATTTCAAAAACATGAGGGGTTCTAGGTGTGATTAGAAGAAACCTCAAGGGAGGTTTCTGATATTAACCCTAAAAAAAAGGTAGCTCTACTACACGAATAAGAAGGTCTTTATTTTAACTACTAAATATATACATACCGTTTCACTTTCATCGATATTCGGAGCAATAGCGTTTGGAGGGCCATTCACTGTCTGGCTCATTGAATGCGTCTACGAGTTTCGTATGGACCAAATCATTGTATAAGACAATCAAAATAGGTATATCAGGAGGGATGACAGCCGTAACAACATTATCACACAATGTAAGATCAATGTAACTATTGATGCTGTTAGAAACATCCAAATGAAAGCAACGGTCATGTCCGTTTTATACTAACCGAAACAGAGTCAGTAGATGAACGACATCCCATAAACATGTATTCGTCAATTGAAACCGATGTCGGCTCCGATTCTGAGGCCTACAGTATTGACACGGCAATAATATTATTTCATCATGAATGATACCTAAACTTTAGTTAATAGCATAACGATAACTTAGTTTTAGCATAAATGTTCCCCGAGTACCAAAATTTGATCCATACCGTAGTCTGTGTAGTCCTTGATAATCTAGATTTTCTTTTTACTCTGTCAAATTTATTGATCCAACTTCGCATCACTCTACTTTTCTTCCCACCACCTCATTTTTTAATGCCTCTTGCGACTACTGCCTCCCCCATTTCATTCACAATTTCAATTTTATCCCGTTCCTCCATATTCAGATTTTTTTGATTTTGCAAAGGTTGCTTTTCACTTTCTGAGAGGAGGAGCTCAACTCTCTTTGCCAAATCGGATATGACAGTGATTGCTACTTTGCTGGTGTCCTCCGACATTGCTGCTCGAGTTGCGACCTTAATCATGGCTGGAGCGAGCTCCCGATAACGAGTTGAAATCATTATTTTAGGATCAGCCACAACTTCCCGTCTTCGCCGATCAAAACAGTCTCCAGCCCGAGCTCTTTTTGTCCATCGCCTCTTAATGTATTCAGGAGGAATTATTTTTATGCCCACAGTATCAAACACCTTCAACGCGTGCCCACATAAAATGCCTTCATTCTCGTATTTTTTGCAACTACAACGTACACTTAGATCATTCCGATTGAATACCACTATTCTTTCAGGTCCTCCATCATACCTCATGACCGCAAACTCCACAATCATCGCTGCATCTTGCTGTCTCAATATAACCATAGCTGTTGACTCGCCATATTCATTTTGGAATGCAACAAATACGGTTGGTGAATACGTCTCTGATGCATGCACGAGCATAGGTGTTTGCCTTAACCCGACCATGGGGAGCTTTTGCCTCATTTCATATTCTGCGATCAGTTCATTATGTCTCTTTTCATCAACCACCCGATTGAAATGTCTAAAGAACTGCACAAGGTCATGATCCAGTTTCAAATGGTTTTTAATTGCTGCATTTAGGCTTTCGCTAAGTTGGGTGCTTCGCATTCCCGCGGTCCATCTTTCTTTCATCATGCACCTTGCCCATTTATCACGAATTCTGTACAACCCGGAGAGCCATTCATTTATTTTCAAGATTGTGTTTCTTCACCATCGTCTCCCACACCCTATTGAATTGTTCCACTTCTTCAAACTCATACATGCATGCACCAAACATGTATGGAAGATCACTATTTTCCTTGTAGTGATTGCCAAGATGTTTCATAAAATTACGCCTTATGTGAAACGTACATAGACCGTGAAATGTTTCAGGCATAACAACTGAAAGAGCGGCTGCCATGGCATGATCTTGGTCGGTTAGTATGGTACTTGGACGCTTTCCGCACATTGCTTCTAGAAATGTACCAAATACCCATTTAAAAGAATCTATAGTCTCATCATACATAAGGGCAGCACCGAATATCACAATTTGCCTATGTTGGTTAAAACCCACAAACACTCCAAGTGGCCGGTATTCTTTATTTGTTTTGTAGGTTGTGTCGAATGTGACTACGTCTCCAAAAAATTTGTAGTCAATTAACATTCCTGCATCAGCCCAAAAGATATTCGTTATCTGCTCTTCACAGTCCAGCTGTACGGCATGAAAAAATGATGGATTCTCGAGTGTTTGCTCTTGAAAATAATTCAGCATGCTACCTGCTTCTCCATATTTCAAACTCCTTTCCCGTCGAGTACGAAGATATCGTTTCAGGTCTTCCCGAGTATATCCCACATTTCCCATCCCACCTGCCTCCTTTCTCGTAAGCTCATGACTCTGTTTCAATGAAAGCCCAGCGTCCTCGCTTATTTCAGCTTGGAATCCTTGAGCCTCACTCACTTTTCTTTGTGATGGCATCATGTGCGCACATTGAACAATGTGCAACTCATGGTTATGCTCTAAGACAATGTCATGCACACGGTACTTCATTGTTCCTCTAAACAACACGATAACCATTTTAGCTCCACACCCTGTTTTCGTCGGCGCTCGTGTCCTCTTTTGGCATCACATCACCTTCGTACTTGCGCTTTACACCTTCCTTGCAGCAACTATATCTCCTAGACGTGGTTACGCCGTCTTTGTCTTTATTCAGATAGTCTTTACGTACACTAAAACCCATTTTAAATGCATATTTGTTGTAAAACTGGTACGCATCCTCTTCGCTGTTGAACTCCATTCCTAATTCAGGGGTCCCATCTTCTGCCAATTTGCTGCAATCCATTACTTCTGATCCTGCCAATTATGCATCAAACACCCTAATTTGCAACACTTCATGAATAGTATGTACATAAACGACAACATATATGTATATTACCATTCATAATGTGTTATGAATCATACATTATTCGTATACCAAATTCTATTATTACGCTATCAATATGATTAATGATTCACATCACCTTACTTTTACTCTAAGACAATCTGTGTACAAATACAACTCCATGTACACTAACTTATACGGATTGTAATGTATTGGTCACACGATGTAAGTCCATTTTAACTGTATGTACATCCACGCTGGTGATTATATTTTGATTCTAGATTCTTTAGCTCACTGGACCTTATGTCATTCGTTAATGACAACCGCATAAAATAGACTAAATAGTCTTTGTCTTTATTTAAATAGTCTTTGCGTACACTAAATCCCATTTTAAAGGCATATTTGTTGTAAAACTTGTACGCATCCTCTTCCATGTTGAACTCCATTCCTAACTCATGAGTCCCATCTTCTGCCAATTTCTCTACAATTCATTACTTCTGCTCCTACCAATTATGCATCCAACACCATAATTTACAATAGTTCATGAATAGTATGTATGTAAACGACAACATAAGTGTGTATTACCGTTTATAATATGTTATGTTACACACATTACTCGTATACCAAATTCTATTAATACTCCCATCGATATGATTAATGATTTACATCACTTTACTTTTACTCTAATACAATGGCATTATCTATGTACAAATATAACTCCATGTATACTAAGTTATACGGACTGTAATGTGTTTTTCACTCCATGTAAGTCTATTTTAACTATATGTACATCCACTCTGGTGATTATATTTAGGTTCTAGGTACTTTGTTTCATTGGACGTTATGTAATTCGTTACTGACAATCGCCTAAGCCAATTCCTGTGCATTTTCTACTATTTCTACATTTTCAGGGCCAAACAAGCATTTTTTACTCATTCTAATACATTTCTTACATCATGTAATTTACTTACAAAACCAGGTACATCTATTTATTATTCACATATATCTTTTCCTCTACTTTTCCTAGGTCAAACCCCAGACCTCCATTTTATACACACTGCATACTCAACAGAGGGGCAAACTAAAATTGCGTGATGACCATGGATCAATACTAGTGGATGCACAAAGATTGTAATAGGGTGGTTATAACCTGTAACTTATCTACAGCAGCATGTACATTCATTCACTTGTTAAATAGTTCATCACTGCAAAACTGCACGCTCTCACACACACATACAGTACACATTGACTATTCTTCTATTATCTTCATATTATGTCTTTACTGAATCTAACATTCAGAAAAGTTGCTGGTATAAGATTCACAAAGTTGTTGATATGGTTGAATCACGTTACCTTGGCCCGTTGAGAGCTTTTTGTTTCACCGAATGCCCTTATGCACAGTTGCTTCTGCTATTAAGTTGCACAAAAAATGGTGGGCAACGTCAAATAATGAATTTCCTCTTTAATTCGCTTCTACCTTGACGCCTGTCTTGCCCGCATTGCTCATACAATTTCTGAAGAGATCGTTGGCCTTCTTTTACTGCTTTCTAACTGTTTGCCTTCTTCCTTCTTCTTCTGATGCCATAACCCAACTCTCTCCACCTAATTTCACGTCAGCCAAGCAACAATGACATACCCAGCTTGCTTTCTTCTCTCGGTTTTGTTTTGTGCGGCTAATTCAAATTTTCAACTTCATTTTCAAAATTTCAAATCTTCCGTTTAGAGGAAACGGAGTCCGTCAATCTTATTTTTTTTCTTTCGTCAAACGGTGACGTTTTTTTCCTTCAACACAACCAGTTGACGTGGCTTATTTTGCTCCATTCCTTGAAGCTTGTGAGGGGACCGTTCAGGAGCGGTCAGAAGGACAGCTCCTGCCCCGTATCCTTTCTCAACCGGCCACAACGCATCCTTATTTAATGTCGGTGCACTCCAGCTATGTAAATGCCATTAAATTCATCGTAATTTTGCGGCTAATTTCTTAGATTATATGTAAAAAAAAAAAACTTCGCACAAATGTACGCCTGACAGACTCTGTTTTTAATTCTATATCAGCACGGCAGCAGAATAATTTGTCAGAGCCCTCAATCCCTCAGCAACAAGTTCAGTACACTAAGCGGCCCACCTTTTTCTTTTTAATAACCCTGTCTCCAGCCGTGCTGACTGGACACGGCTGGGGACACCAAGTCCAAAAAAAAAGGCGCTTTGTCAGCCTTTGTCTGACGCACCCCCAACCCAGTATTTTTAATTCTAATGGCCAAAATGCAAATGCTGCAAAATCCATTTTTTTAACTAACCTTTTATTCATACTCTATTCAAATTTAGGCTACTTAGACTACCAAAGTGATTTACAAATCTGCAAACAAAAGAGTATTCATACTAGTTTCATAAGTAGACTTAAATTAAATCGGATCCCAAACAAATTTACTTAAACCCCAATTTATATCTGAAAAGTCAGAATTAATTCACCAAAATACAGATTAACATCATAAAGAAAGGCCAGGACTCAAAAATGAGAAATTATATCCATTTTTTTGCAAATGTTGACGCCCTAGCATAATTATGTAAGAGTTAGGGGACAAATTATAAATATAAATTATGGACTTAGATGAAAATCAATGAGCATAAGAACACAATAAAGTTTTTACAAAATTAAAGAATGCCTAAAAACTTTAATTTTGTAAAAACTTTATTTTGTTCTTATGCTCATTGATTTTCATCTAAGTCCATAATTTATATTTATAATTTGTCCCGTAACTCTTACATAATTATGCTAGGGCGTCAACATTTGCAAAAAAATGGATATAATTTCTCATTTTTGAGTCCTGGCCTTTCTTTATGATGTTAATCTGTATTTTGGTAAATTAATTCTGACTTTTCAGGTATAAATTGGGGTTTAAGTAAATTTGTTTGGGATCCGATTTAATTTAAGTCTACTTATGAAACTAGTATGAATACTCTTTTGTTTGCATATTTGTAAATCACTTTGGTAGTCTAAGTAGCCTAAATTTGAGTAGAGTATGAATAAAAGGTTAGTTAAAAAAAATGGATTTTGCAGCATTTGCATTTTGGCCATTAGAATTAAAAATACCGGGTTGGGGGTGCGTCGGACAAAGGCTGACAAAGCGCCTTTTTTTTTTGAACTTGGTGTCCCCAGCCGTGTCCAGTCAGCACGACTGGGGACAGGGTTATTGAAAAAAAAAAAGGTGGGCCGCTTAGTGCACTGAACTTATTGCAGAGGGGCTAAGGGCTCTGACAATTTATTCTGCTGCCGTGCTGACTCAGCACGCCAGGTATAGAATTAGAAACAGAGTCTGTCAGGCGTACATTTGTGCGAAGTTTTTTTTTTTAACATATAATCTAAGAAATTAGCCTAATTATGCTATAACCTGTCACTTCTGGCACTATTCATTTATGGCACGCTTGGGAGTTTACAATAGAAAAGAAAAGAAGAGAGGGGAAGTTAGAAAGAGGGGATGGGAAATGATCTAAGTTTCTATCTAAGTTGTTTTGGAATTTAAAAAAAGAAAAGAAATTAAATAGTTTTCTTTTATTTGGGAGGTGGAGACAAATAAAAAAAAAAGATAATCAAACAAATTATTTTGCAAATTTGTCACTTCTGTAAATAAATGTGAATTAAGTAAGTTGAGGGATTCATCGAGAAATAATTATTTGTATCACAATTTTAAGAGCAATATTTTCATATAAAAAAAATTCACTTAAAGCTCCGTGTCTTTCTTCCTTTTTCGCCCAACTTTGGGCGGAAAGTTTTTTAAGACATAAAGGGAAGTGAAATCTTTTCAAATCTTTTCTTTTTCTTCTCATTTTTGCTCTAAAAAAGATAGAAAAAGTTTATTATCCTTTCAAAACCTTTCTTTTCTATTCATTTTCTTCCTCCTAAACTGGCTATTAGCGCTGCACGCTTTTATACATGAATGATTAGGTCATATACTATTCCATTGTTCTGATATGCAATTTTGTAAAGTTTGGGGCCCTTGCTCCTATATTATACAATTTTGCTAAAAATATAAAATCTCCTAACGATTTCAGAAAAAAAAAAAAAGGTAAGGCCTGACTTGGATATACGTAGGCCCATTTGCATTACATATTAAATGACCCTTTTATTCTCCGCACTCCTTTCACTGCCATTTGTCATTGAAATCTATTCCAATATAAGCATATGATTGAGTACGGTTCAAACTTTTTAGCTTAATTTCTACTTTGAGTTGTCTTACAATTATTGTCACTACTGAAAATCTTATTGCATCGAATACGGTTCAAACTTTTTAGCTTAATTTCTATTTTGAGTTGTCTTACAATTATCGTCACTTCTAAAATCTTATTGCACAGAATATTTCAGTCAGTCATGTATTGGTGTTACAATTTCCGGGAAGTAGCAAGGCAATCATCTCAAGACAGTTTTGCCCAATTCAACAAAATAGAAGTTCATTTGTTTAAACTATGAATCATCTTGGGCAAATAATGTAAATTACTTTAAACACAAAATAAATTTAGATCAATTTTTGTTGAACCCCATACAAGCATTAAAAATGATGTACAACAAGTGATTGAGTCTTAAAATTTTCTTGGGCACCATCAACCTTTATAAACGGTTGGATACTGCAATTCAACCTTCATAGCCCTAAATTTTCAATTTCTGTCATTTAGCATAATTCATAAAGCAACCCTAATTGGTTATTTGTAAATCAACCACAAAATCATGACCTTCTCCAACTAATAACTTAATCATCTATGCACTAAATCAGTACCCTACCCATTATAACTAATAAACCTATTACAAATTTATGAGATGCACCCATTGGTATGCAGTCTCGCCCACTTTTTCAAATTACTTTAAACTCTTATACTATGTTACTAACTCTGAATAAGGATAAGGATTATAAGTAACTATCAATGTCTATTCATCAACATACTTTTATTAGTTAAACTCTTTGTACATTGAGTGTCAAAGTGTAAAATCCTTTTGATGAGAATAATATTTACAAATACTACTTATATTAGTTGCATATGCATAAATGTGCGTTGAAAACAAGTAACCAAGAAATTCTTTCTTGACCCTTGTATGTAATAAATATTATTGTTATCTCTCAAACTGTGGACTCCAAAAAGTCTTTCTAGTTGGATTAATTGGAGTTAGGTTGTGTTATGGTTACTAGGAGAACCGTCCCGTGCTATGGTCGATCCAAAATTGAGTTAACTAGATCTGGCTCGATCTCGATCATTTATTTTAAAATTTATTTTAAAATCAACTGATTTTGAAATGAAAGGCAGAGATCAAACTGGACCTTGTTGGTCCGATTTTGAACTATTCACAACACGATTGATTCTCTCTGAAACCGCTGTAGAAAAATGGGCTCTGATCGATTGTGTTAGAATCAACCCTTTTTTAGCTAATATGTTACTAATTAATTGGGGGTGGACTTAGACTTGGAAGGACTTCCTTATTGAGTTATCCAATTTGTCAAGCAATTGACCCTTTCAAACAATGATTGATGAAATCGTCAAACCATTCAACCTTTTGAACAAGGATGGTTACCCCTTATTTGTGAATGCAAGTGTAGTACATTTTGCGATTGTTACAAGCTCTCTGATCAGTTTGTTATCATTGCCAGGAGGTTTTCATTCTATCAGTGCTGTTGAGAATGATGTCTACTGCCTGAAATCAATTGAGGATAGCCTACAACATCCTTATAATTACTTGCCATTGACTTGGAACTTCGACAATGCTACTGAAGAAGGATTCATCTGTGACTTTACTGGCATTGGTTGCTGGCATGCCAATGAGAACAAGGTGTTAAATATTAGGCTGAGCGAAATGGGACTGAAGGGCCAGTTTCCTCGAGGACTGGAAAACTGCACTAGTTTGGTGGATCTGGACCTTTCTAACAACCAGCTCTCGGGCCCCATCCCATTTGATATTGGCCAAGTTCTCAAGTTCATCACAACTCTTGATCTTTCAAATAATCAGTTCTCTGGCTTAATCCCACCATCGATTGCAAGCTGCAAATACATTTCTGTCTTGAAACTAGATGACAACAGTCTACGGGGTCCAATTCCACAAGAACTAGGCATGTTGAATCGCATCACGATTTCCACAGTGGCCAATAACATGTTAACAGGGCCGGTGCCGAATTTCATCAAAGCAACTCCTCCTGAAGTGAGGTATGAAAATAATCTGGGACTTTGTGGGGCAGCCTTGGAAGTCTGCAAGGACGATTTAGATTCCGGTTTGAGCAATCGAGTTCTATTCTTAAGTGGATTCATGACTGGTTGGGCCATCACAATGAGTCTGGTTCTCTTTATATGTTTATCTGGTATGCCAGTGCTGAGTTTGAAGAAGCTGATTACTAAGATGAAAGAGAAGATAAACGCCCTTGCTGATGTACAGAGCCTAGGGCCAAAAGCATTGGAAATAGATTACAATAACAAGGTACTAAATATCTACATTTATCTTATTCTTTATTCATTTACACATGTTAGGTTGTTACTTTGACTTCTCATGAATTAGATACCTAGTTTACATGACATTTGGATTTAAGGAACCAATAATCGACCCGCTTATCAAAAATCTGTAGACTGCCTTGCTTTTAGGGTCCAAAAATTTCAGTTTTGTATTTTATTTTATTTTAATCAATTAACATCCCAAATAAACTTCAGTTTCCAGGTGGTGTAGATTTTTTTTTTTTTTTTGATGGTTTCTAGCCCTTCAAAAGTTATGACATTGTTGCTAACCTGAAAATGTGACTAGAACAGGGCTGCCTTTACATTGTTGATTTTGTTTTCCAGGAAGAGTAAAGCAGTTCCTATTAAGTCACACAACAGACATTGAAGAAGATGGTACAAATGTTGTACATTATGCAGAACGGTCTTTATTTATTGATTTATTATTTAGGTTTTTTTTTTGACACATCATTCTCAAATCATATTACTCTATAAGCTTTCAAGATAAATTAATATGGTATGTGTTATTCTCTTCCAGAGTAATTATGAACTGAACAAAATTTCCTCTTAATTTCTGCTAGAATTCTTAACATTGAAATCTCAGAATAGCATATACAATCTTTATTCTGCAGATTGCGCGGCTGGAAAAATACGTTACAAGAATTTCTTTTGCAGAATTGAGCAGTGCAACAGCCAATTTCAGTCAAGATAGCATCATTGGAATTGGAAAGATGGGAACTATGTACAAGGCAAGACTCCCAAACGGATGGTTTCTTGCCATCAAGGGTCTCTTCAACTCAGAGCAGTTGCATCAAAAAATTGCATCTGAGACCATAACTCTAGGCAAATTAAGGCACCGGAGGCTGGTGCCTCTAATAGGATTCTGCCCTGAAAAGGAGGACTTGTTTCTAGTATACAAGTACATGTCAAATGGCAATCTTTACAACTGGTTACATGGAAGAAAAGATGAGGTGGATATTATGGCACATTGGGCTTTGAGGGTTAAGGTTGCTGCTGGCATAGCCGAAGGGTTAGCATGGCTTCATCACAAATGTAGTTTAAGGGTGGTCCATGGGACCATAAGCTCAAAAGATATCCTGCTTGATAAGAATTTTGATCCCAAAATATCAAATTTCTGGGAAGCAAAATTCATTAAGTTAGAAGATCAAAGTTCAAATTGGAGTTTTTTCCAGTCAAGTGATTCTCTGGATTTGGATTCTTTCAAAAAAGATGTCTACTGTTTTGGGATTATGGTTCTAGAGCTTATAACACGGAAGCAACCTCAGCAAGTCAAAAGCTTCATTGAAAATCTCTGTGGTACCTCTGTTTCTCATAAATTTTCTACTCTGGCTGAGGTTGATCAAACTCTGATTGGTCATGGATTTGATGATGAAATCATCCAATTCCTTCAAGTAGCTGAGAACTGTGTGTTGCCTAATCCAGATCACAGACCATCGATGCTTCAAGTACATGAAACCCTGGCAGCATTTGCAGAAATCTATAACTACACAGCTGATTGTGAGATGTCCTATTGAGAGGATTGTTTGTCTTTCAATGACAATGCTGGTCAAAAAATTCTTACCTAATTACCTTCAATGAGTAGTCGGGAACCAAATTAATCATTTTGGGCACCTAATTATCAAACGATTACGAGTATAAGAAGAATTTAGTTTACAGAGTTAGTATCATATATGCTCTGAATAGTAGCCTTAAATTCATTCAAAAAATTGTGCACCATTGAAACAGAAGAAAGTTTCTGTACACATAATAACTGTCAAATACTGTACTTGCAACATGTATTAAATTTACATATTTGCTGCTTTGTCATTTGGTTTCAGTTCAAGCAGTCATGGTAGAAAAGCAGTACCTCCCCTTGCTTCAGGTCAATTATTCTATTTAGTGAAATGGATATGTAGGATTGTCTCCAAAATTTGTCAACAAAGATGTAAGACCATATAGAGTTACCTTGATAACATGATGGTAAATGAAAATGTAATTTGAATGAGCACAAGACATGGTTAAATATTCCATCAAAATTTTGATCATGCTTGTTCAAAATTTGACATAAAAACAACCAAATGGTCATGTTTATTTAGTTACCATCTGATCTTAACAAGCATGTGATTGATTGCTCTGTACAAGTAGGGCATCATCTGCTAACAATCTCATTCCCTATAACTCATCCATTCTATGATTTGTGTAACTAATCAAGCTATTAGTCCTGCACAAAGGAAACAAATCATAGTAGAAATTTATGGATGCTCCTCATTTTGATGCTTGCACTCTAGTTTAACAGTATACTTTGAGTTCAAAATCAATTCATTATCATAACACCATAAGAGAGTGCAAGAATCAAAATGTGAAGCAATGACTTATGTTAGCTGAAACAGCTTATTTAGAGCATTGCTTCTTGAAAAATAAGTCCCAAGCGAATTGCTTTTCCTACATGGCTCTGTTGTTGAGCTGTCCTTGTCATTTCCCCCCTGAGTAATTATTTGAACCGAGGAGGTTGTAATAGGTTCATTGCCAAGTATAACACCTTGCTTTTTCATATAATCCCATTTGTCTTGAAAGAGGTAAAAGAATGCCATGACAAGGACCTGAGCCGTGAAAAGTGCAGTCCAAAGGCTTGTACTCTTTGATGTTTTCGAATGATACGCTTTTAAGCCAGTGTAGGTATTAAAAACCCCAACGAAAGATATTGCTGTTCCCATTATCCAATGGAAAAGATACCAAACGCTTCTAGATTTCCTTCCCCTGCATACAGAAAGAGGAGGAAAAAGGGAAACTCAGAAATTCTGTCCTTCTATCCTAATTGACCTGCAAGATCTGTCAAGGAACGCAAGTACTAATTATAGTAGAAAATAAGATGATTAATCACCTCCTTGGTCTGCGAAATCCAGTTAAGATTTGCACATAAATAGCACCATAAAGTCCTAATCCTAGTCTTTGGTGGCAGTTGTTGAATGAATTCTCAAAGCTTCTGATTGAAATAACTGCTCCAGCAGTAGCAAGTAGTACCGAAAGCACCTTATCAACACGATAGAGAAAAAGCATCTGTTAATTCTACAAGCTTATGAATCAAATATCGATTGAAACCTGCAAATGCTTTCTCTATGAACATAATCTTATATCCCTTATTTTCAGTATATAGACATTTTAGACCAAAAGTATGTGCGCACAAATACATACTAGAAGTCTAAAACACAACGGAGTTCTAATGAGTCCAAGATTATGAAGAGACTAGGACGTGCAAAAGTTAACAAACATCATTGATCAGTGTATGCTTTTATCAGTTAGACTACGCAGTGTAATCAAGTTATTCTTCATGCTACTAGCACAACGTTCACAGTTAGCATGATCTCAAAAGTCTGGTTCTACCAAACTGTGGGCTCACATTGTTGTTGCCATGTCCCAAGTGCTTTTTTCTTTTAAAAGACCTTTATCCCCCCGTTATAATTAAAGTGTATTTCATGATTGCTTGACAGAAAAAGGAACAGGAAGTGTGTTTAATCATAACATCTTGTGACTCTAAAGGGGCTTTGGATCGTCTAATCACGTGATAAATAGAAGGGGGGGGGGGGTTTAATAATCAGCATTCTAATTCTCTACTTAATGTAGTTATACTTCCTAACCTCGTAAAGCCATATCCAGAAAGAAATTTCAAAATCATGAACTCTAATTTACCTGGGCAATTGCATGAAGATAGAAGAAGACTTTAAGTGTAGTTCTGTGAAATTCTTGTGCACTGGCCATTCTGATAACAAGTATTCCAACAGGCATTAGAAAACCCATTGAAACCCATAAAAGAATTCCATGAACTGCAATATAAAATGTCTTCTGAGAATCCTGCTGCAGAAATTACCAAAACTAATTTAAACTCCACCTGTATGTATTTAACATCCATACATCAAGGGCAATAGCCAGTACCGCTAGTATACGCTGCTATTTCCCATCAAAAGGTGGTTTCATTTCTCATCACCCCTTTATGATTTGTATGAATGTGTTGAATTAAAACACTCAAAATTGAACAGGCCATACATATATGTCCCAAGTTGTTTCCATATATTGATACAGAGAAGCAGACCAAAGAAGATGCTACTTACATGATGTTTGATGCTATTATCGCTGGCCGGCTTGAGTTCGATGGATGAGCATTTAACACAAGGTAGAAGATGAAGAGCAAAACTTGCACAAATGCAGCAATAAAAGATCATAGCATGCCTGTGCATCCTTCACTTCAGGATAAAACAAGACAAGAATGCCAAGAATTTTCGACCTTTTACCCAATACAAGGATAGTTCTATATCAATTTGATCTTCCTAGGTCGATGTTTCATCAAAAGTAGAGAAATTCAACCACAAGAGTTTCTATAGCAAATGAAACTGACTCCACAATGAACTCCAGTCTCTTTCTAAAAATATTTTCTACTTTTATGACTTTCTTTGCTTTATAATGGCATTCTCAGACATGCACAATCAATTGACCATTTTTAATCTAGGTAGTAATGATGAACTTTGATGTTTGTTGGACAAAAGTCGGATGCATGATCTCTTGCCAGATATCTTTCTATGTTCACCTTTTGTATGGACAAGGGGCTTAGAAAGTTACGCATAGTAATAGTATAGTTTAATGCCTGTAGTACACAGTTTAATCCTACATGCATGAAAGATTTGACATCATTTTTTTTCACTCTGATTTTACCAAATAGAAGTGTGCAATGATCCCACTGAGCATGGTATTTAACCCGGCCCACCTAATAGTTCAACTGATCAACCCTAGTAACCGACCACTTAATCAAGTTGAGTTAGTAGTTGGACTGAACGGGGGAGGAAACTATAAAATTTCTCTGTTCAATTTGTAGAACTCAAATAAGTGGCCGATTGAACCACGGTTCAATAACCAATTCAATAATTCATATTTTCTTAATAAATCACATATATTATTTTACCATATTATATAATCACCGATTCAACCGTCAAACTAGCACTTGAACCACTAACGCCCTTGAAACAATAGCCTTACTAAGTTGATGTCTAGATCGGGTTTAATAACTATTCCATTGAGCATTTGTTCAGAAACTTTTGGATCCTTTTTTTTTTTTTTTCGGAGCAGTAGTCCAAAAACTTTAGGATCTTGATTGAATAGCCTTTAATATTTGAGCAAATTCTATGTAGTGTAAATAACATGCTCTTACAAGTTTGGCATGCCAAATATCTATGAGGCAATTTTTAGACGGTAAAGTTTGAAGAGGCTTAAGATATACTTGCAGCCATATATATTGTGAGAGAAGAAATTTTCCAATTTTCTAGAGTACATAATAAAGTTGAAACTAATAGATAACAGATTATAGAACTTGACGCCTAGAAACATATATTTCCCTTCTTAGGGAATAATATATAGACAAATAATTAGGTAGATCCAATTTACAAATTCACTTGTAGAATATGTTATATTCTTTTTACCCACATGAAAGTTCGCACTCTATTATACATTATAGCTATTATCACTTTTTTTAACGCCATATGATCCACTATTGAGTCCATAGATCAGGTCCTTCAAGTATTTTCAGTATACAAACAATCCCGACTCACTATGGAGTATGGTCAAATCTGTCTCCCACACAAAGGCTCTCTGTGAACATAGTATAGCAGGAAAGCTGCAACTGAACATTCATGTGGATATTAAAGGATCTGGAGTCGGCCCCCGGTATTTGAAAGCCACATTACTGTGGATCCTAGAAGACTAGAGGTGCCCCCAAAATTTAAAATGTTCATCTTTGGCTCCTAAATTTCTGGGAAATTTTGGAACCGTGTAGTACATTTTGTGAGTGATGTAATTTGAGATAATGAGGTGGTTTAAAACATAAAAAAGTGATTCAAAAATATATTTGTGATGCAATTATTTTTTCATTTTTTTTTTGACAAATAATAGGATATCCAAACGAACGATTCTGGGAAGTTTTACTTGGGACTTTCTCATTAGTGGTATTGTAAGCTGGGTCCTTGAAGCTAAAGGTGCCACATGTAGATATACCTTTAGGCTATAGGTTGAACAGATCAGACAAGAATAAATAATAGGACTAATTCCATTTTGCATCTCCGAACCACTTTTTTACTTTACACCCTAAACTTTTAATTTTAGATACTTTTCACCTTAAATTCTCAAGTTTATCCCATTTGAATCCAATCAATAATAACATTAGCAAAATTAATAAAATAGAGGACCATCCAAAGCAATGACTCTATGTTGAAAGTGGTGAAAAGGAGCCAAGAGATCAAAAGGCGTTTGGTAAAAGGGTTTCGGAATGGGGAATTGGAATAAACCCCATGATTCATGTTTGGTTCACTACTATCGGAATTGAAATTTTGGAATGATGTCTAACAATTTAGCATTCCACCATTCCTTAATAAGTTGGTGGGTTTTGTCCAAAACCCAAGTATGATTCCCAAATCTTATAATTACATAATATTTAGTATAATTAATATATTATATATTTATATGTTTATATTTATTAATTATAATATTTTATTAT